TGATAGATATTACTTACATAATCAAAAGTTCTTTTTTTCTTTTTTAGAGACAGTGTCTCACTCTGTTGCCCAGGCTAGAGTGCATTGGGGCGATCATGGCTCACTGCAGCCTTGAACTCCTGAGCTCGAAGGATCCTCTTGCCTCAGCCTCTTGAATAGCTGGGACTACAAGTTCAAGCCACCACACCCAGCTAATTTTCTTATTTTTATTTTTTATAGAGATAGGGTCTCACTATGTTGCCCAGGCTGGTCTCAAATCCCTAGGCTCAAGCAATCCTCCCACCTTGGTGTCCCAAAGCTTTGGGATTACAGGCACGAGCCACCACACCTGGCCAACCAAAGTTCTTTGCGGTCCTTATTTTTAGGAGAACCGCTGGTCTAGAGGCAGGCCACCAAGGTGCAGGTTCAGAGAGCTGCATGCAGTCGGACAGAGCGGTGGCTTGAGCTTCATTGTCTGGAAAGATGACATACGGTGTTGGAGATGGACAGATCGTGATGGGATTATACCTCACCAAGGGAGCAGGGGTCCAATAAACGCTGGGATAAATGAATGAGGAGCAATGACACTACGAATACATAGCCTGAATCAAACCTGATTCTTGACACTTGTGTCCATCCCCTTTCTGGGCACAAGCCACTCCTTACCAGAGAATACTGACCTTAATTATGGCTCAGTAATATGCAAGTCTGGGTGGAGGTCATTGTTCTGGAGGGTGATATTGGCAAAGAAATAACATAATTGAAAGAAGTTGGGGACAGGGATGACTAGAGTTCATGTGTTTCAGATTTATATTCCTACCTTCCCATCTCTTTCCCACACTTCTTTCCCCAGGCAGCTTTCAGTTGGGGCCAGTTTGGCTTATTAAGTGGCACACTTGCCCCCTGGTGGCCATATGGCACAATGACACTTTCCCCAGCGCCTGCAGATACCCACGGAGCAGAAGGCCCCAGCCACAGAGGCTGAGATCTGGAGGAAGGCCAGAAAGATCAGTCTGGGGCTAGTCCAGAGGGCCCCGCAAGCATCAGTGGCCAGAGCATGGGGGCAGTGTCACCTGCCTGATGAAAACTTACGTGGCCACCCCTCCACTCTGCAGCCTAGTACCGACGCTGGCCAGCATGTGTCTCGTGACGGCCGACCACACGGCAGTACTGTGCTCAGTGCTTTCCACAGAGTTCACGACAACAGCAAACCTGCGAGGTAGGTACTATTATAGTTGCCGTTTTATAGATGAAACCGAGGCTCAAAAATGTTAAGTAACTTGCCCAAGGCCATACAAGGAGCGAGTGGCAGAGCCAGGACTGGGGTGGGCAGTTCACACCGTTAACAGTTATACTGTTGCGGCTTCCGCTGCTTTGTGACTGTGTGTTTTTTAGGTCTGTCTTCTCCCTCTGGACTGTGACCGTCTTGCTCATGGCGATATCCCCAGCACTGAGCTCAGCGGCGTGTCTGTGCTGGGAAGCACGGGAAGGACTACGCCAGGCTGGACCCCGGAGGGAACCCTCGGCCCCCCGCACTCTCAGCGCCCACTGTGCTCAGAGGCCCCAGGCACCAGATCTCAGCCTTGGGAGGCCCGTGGCTGAGGCGCGAGAGTGTCAGCTCCTCCCGCTGCTGTGACTCCAGAGGTGGCCTGGGAAGCCAGAGAGCAGGTCTCTCATCCATGTCCTTGGCACGAGGAGCAGCGAACACCACCAGGGGCCCTCAGTAGCAGGGACTCAGGGCCATGGGGGCCTCAGTCAGCATCACAGAGATGGAGCAAGGGCGGAAGGGGAAGGATAGGACGGGGTGGGGGAGAGGCGGGTAGCTCAAACCTGTCCGTGTCGGGCAGTAGCACCACCTAGTGCTGAAGCTCAAGATGATTTAGGAAAACACCAGCTAATCCACAGCTGAGCAGTAACACCCTCCTTTGGAAGTAGCTCCTGGAACTGTTGCTGTCCCCTCCACAGAGCCACAGGGGAGGGCCTGGAACTCTTCCGGCCCCTCTCCAAGCCAGAGCAGTTCACTCCAAAAGGGCTCACCCGGTTGTACAAAATGTGAAAAAAACACCCCTCATTCCTACCAGCCCTTGGCTGAAAAAAACCTACTGAGCTCAAGGTCATATCAAGATCTCAACCTCCTCGGGGACAGCCTGCACCCAGCGACTACTTCACTCAGGAACACAGAGGCCCGTCTCCATCACCCCAACTTGGGGCAAGCCAGAGGGCTGTCCTAGCTTCAGAGGCTCCACGCCAGGAGGTTAATTGAGACCTCTGTTGAGCCCAACTTCTCCCTCTACCTCTTTCCCCTATTAACTCCCTACATGTCAGTCTATATTTCAGAGTCTACTCCCCTGGAACCATCCCGTATATCATGTATGACATGCGTGCATACGTAGCCGATAGGATGTACGTGTGATGAGGCGTCTCCTTGGCCACGCTGGGATTGTCAGATATCACCTACCTCCTGTCACCTGCAGGGGCCATGGGGTGGGCAGACAGACCTACACTGCTTAGGCAGACAGCAAGGAGCATGATAGAAGCTAAAGAAACGGGGAGATTCTGGCCACCCCAGGCAGGCCCTGTTTGTTTGCCCGCAGGGCTGAAGGAATCAATATTTCCCAGCACACCAGTGACCTATTTTATACCATATGATGCTCTGAGCCTGTCAGCCCTGTGGCCTATGAGGTGTTTTTGCTTTCTGTGTCATTTGAGGAGCAGATTTGCTCACAGTAGCCCAGGTGCAGCACAGTCCGGTGTAAAGGGAGGATGTTTCCTATTTATCTTTCCCAGGATGTCAAACAGTCTGGTGGCTGTTTTGTCCAACGGATAAACAGAAGCATGGTGGGCCAGTAACCTCAGGGAGCCATCCACAATTAGTGCCAGATAAGACTGCATTGTGTAGACCAGCTGTGCAATAGAACCTTTTGCAATGGCGAGAATGTCCTGTATCTGCAGTGTCCCTTGCAGTTGCCCTGAGGCTACTGAGCACTGGAACTGTGCTTTGTGCGGCTAAGGAGCTTGACATTTACTTTTATTTCATTTTAATTAATTTAAATAGTCTCATGTGGCCAGTTGCTACTTTATTGAACAGTGCAGGTGTAGAACCCAAGTGAGAATGTGAAGACTTAAAATCGCTTGATTCTAATTATAAGATTGTCCTGGGGTACATTCCTCTCAGTTTACCTGAGAAAACTGATTATAACACGTAGCCCTGGAGATTCTGTGTTACTCTAGATCATCTGTAAAGATGTTAAATGAGAGTCTCCTAACGGTTCCTCAGAACTCCGTTCTTTGCACTTCCCCAGCCGGAGACATGCCCATCTAGACAGCTGTTAATTTCCTCTCTCTAGGTCTGTTCATTTTTCATGACAAAATAGCCCTCAAGCTCTGTGCCCAATTCCTCTACTCCCATCTCATCCCACATTGACACATTTTAGACTTTGGCTTGAAATCTTTTCAGACGCTTCTGAAAAATTAAAATGAATCACACTCACAGGTTCCCAGGCAAACTTATTCTAAATAAACACATTGGTTGGGCATGATTTCCCCATGTATGGATCGTGATGCTCTGATCTGGGTTGGTTATTTCTGCTTGCTGTGCTTAGCGATGCTACCCTTCACCATAAACCCCACTTAATTGGGAAGCGGGGGTGAGGGGTGCATTGGCTGAAACTCCACTGGGCCCCTTGGGAGTCCTGTTTCTGCACAGGAGTCATTTGCAATCCTTTGAGTCACTGACATAGCAGCCGTCTCCGATGCAAGACACGGCTTTGCCAACAGTTGCCTGGTTTTAATTCTTGAGGTTCTCAGGGAAGTGCCACATTTGATTGGGCCCAACACGCTTGTCTGAACACTTCCTGAGAGTAGAGTGCTGTCCGATCCAGCACCTCTGATTTTCCCATCTCAGGACCCACTTTGGGGAATGGGAACCTCCTTTACGTCCTCTCGAGGAGAGAGCTGGCCGGACTGTCTGTCATTTGTCAGGCCTCTCAACTCGGTAGGAAGCAGTATAATGTAGTCGTTAATTAATGGCTTCTGGAGCTAGCTGCCAAGAGAGCAAATCCCAGTTCTCTCCCCTCCCACAGTGTGGCTTTGGGCAAGTTGTGCCCTCTGTCTATGAGGGTAATAATAGTCCATCTCCCTTGGGGTCCTTATAAGGATAAGGCAAGTTGGTTTGCATAAAGCGTTTATTTACAGCAGTACTTGCAACAAAGTAAGTGTTATGTAAGTATGAGCCATTTTTATTACCATAAGCAGAACTTTTTTCACTGGTTTATTTGACAAACTTTTGGCAAACTTTTTTTCTCTTTGGAAATCACTCAGCAGGCACTCTCTATGGCCTTCTTTGGCGGCTATATCTCTAGCTTTCACCAAATCTGTCGCACAATCCGATCTTCTCTGTGGGCCTCTCTCGATTCCAGTTAGGCAGCAGGAGGATTTTTCTATCTCTGGGAATCTTGTTTGTTTTGCTTTTTGGTGCACACTTTCCTTCAGTTCCAATAATATACTTTATGAGTTTTAGACTTATAAACGTCTATTTTTACACTGTCATTCTAAAACAGAATAGATGATAGCGTTTTCTATCAATACAGCCCCACGAAACCTCACTTTTCCCTCTTTTCTTTTGCTTCCAGCTCCCAGACTTCCCTTTGGGAGTGTCCTGGGTGGGCCCGAGACTGGGGAACCAACGTTCTAGAGAGTCCAGTTGAGTTTCCTGGAAAAGGCAGGGCCCGAGGGAGAGCGGGAAGGTGGAGAGACAACAAAGACAAATGCACTTTATTGATAAGGCAACAGCATAATACAGGGCTGTGGCAAAGCGCCCAGGGGGCCAGGGCCACACAGAGAGGGGGTCTGATTCACATGGAGGCAGAGGCTGAGTGTCCTTCCTCTTCCTTCTGATGGGTGGATGGCGTTACAACCCAGGGAAGGAAGGAAGGGAGGAAGGGAGGAAGGGAGGAAGGGAGGAAGGAAGGGAGGAAGGGAGGAAGGGAGGAAGGGAGGAAGGAAGGGAGGGAGGGAGGGAGGGAGGAAGGAAGGAAGGAAGGAAGGAAGGAAGGAAGGAAGGAAGGAAGGAAGGAAGGAAGGAAGGGGTCCCAGATCTAGACTTGCTCTGTCTGAAACTCAGGGCTTCCCCCAAGGGACTGGGTCAGCCACCAAGGGAAGGGAACGGGGGTCTAAGCTCAAGTGTGGTGTAGTGAAAGGAGCACTGGACCTTGAGTTCAAAGTCTGGCCCAGTCCTGGCACTACTTCTAACTAGTCCTGTGAGCTCAGGCAAGTCATGCCCTCCTCTAAGTGTTAGTTTTCTTTAACAAGGGGGTTGAACTAGTTTAGCAATTTTCAAGCTTTTTCTCTTACTGAGTAGCAAGCTGGACAAATGTGTTTTGCAGCGAAAATCAAACAAGGGTCTCTCCCTAGACCGTTGTAAAATAACAACAACAATAATGTACAGAATTTTCACAATGTAAGTTTTTCCTCCATAAATATCTCTGAATCAGTGGTGCCTGCTACCCTTTATATTAGAATATAGTACAAATGGAGTCCGATTCTGAAAACAACACATATCTAATAAATTTAAGATTAAGCCATATATATGCTATTCCACAATAAGGAATGTGGCTTTCAGATGATTTTCCCACCTAAAAAATTCTGAGAGACACAGGGCCAGGTGGACACTGATGGCCCTTGCAGTGGTAAGTCTGATTCCTCCTGGGATTTTCAGGGAACTGCAAATGCAGGCAGGAAGCACATCTTCCAGGGGTCTGGCGATCATATTCCCACTGACATTACCTCCCTGGCGGTACAGCAAATGCAGCCATGTCCCCAAACTGAAGCAATGATCTGAAGAACCTTCTACGACCCTCCTGGAAGAACCCCCTTCTGGGCTGGTCCCACACACCTGCAACCCACTCTCATGCAGAAAGACCACCCTGGAGGAAGTGGATCAAGTACTTCCACCTCCCCGCTGGGCTGGCTATAGAGGAAGACATGGAGTCTGAAGTTATATTCCCCCACCCCTGCCTCACAGGCCCCTTTTGACTTTTGGGTGGCAGAGTGAGGATAAGAAGGGAACCAGCCCCACACCCCATGCCCCTGAACCCTCAACGCTCTCTCTGATGAGCCCCCAGAGGATGCCCCACTCTCCCTCCACCTGCCCTGTGGGGTGCTGGAGTGCAGGCTCCAGGCTCTGCAGTGAGCAGAGAACTACACCTAGGCAGCAGGAAGGGCAGGCTCAGCTGCTGGGACTGGGAAAGGTCTTCTCCTGCACCCCACCCTGCCCGGGAGAGAAGATGCAGCCCCCACTGGTGAGCAGAGAGGGAGGCACTGCTTCTCCACACTGAGCTGCTGGGAGATCAGCGACTTCCAAGGGGGAGGGTTCATTCTCCACTCTTACCAGGTGGGAGCTAAGGCACTGGCAGGGGGAGGAGTGAAGAGTCGGATGGGGAGTTTCTGCAAGCTGGGGGCAATTCAGTCTGCCACATGAATCGTGAATTGCTGGAAGGAGCACTCCCATGTCAAGCAAGCCCTTAGACCCAGGCCGAGGAGCTATGGGCTTGGTGACAGGGACAGCCTGTGGCCACACACTACTCTTCTGAGAGGCTGGTTTTGTCTGTTCCCCACCGCCCAGGCCCTGCATTCTTCCTCCTTGGGCCTCCCAACAGGTGGGTTCTGTGCCCGTGGCTCCAGCACTGGGGAGAAAGCCCACCTCCCCAGACCTGTTGCCCGAGAGAGTATGTCTGTGACAATGGGACGAAGGTGGGCACCAAGGGGCTAGACAAGTGCCCTTTGGCCAGCAGAGGTGGGGGAGGGAGGAGTTAGGCCCTTAGTCACCTTGTTTCTGGTCATCCTTGGCAGTGAGTATCCTAGACAGGCCAGAGGTGGGGAGGCAGAGGAAGGAGACCCTGTCGGGGCATGCTGCCTGGGGACAAACAGCCACCGTCTGGCAGCAGGTGAGATGGGGGTGGGTGGGGCCGTGGGCCAGTTATTTGTCGTGGGTGGGCAGGGGGAGGGAGATCCCCACCAGGCTCTGGACACGTGGGCCTGGAGTGGGGGAGGTACTCTGTCCCTGAGGCTTGGGTGCACTTCTCCTGTCTGCCTGTTCCCTCAGCACCAGCCAGCAGCCACCTGTGGAGAGGTGGGGGTGTCCCTGGACGAGGTCCTGCCTTCAGCCTCTGCCCTCTGCCCCCACTTGAGTTTCTCTGTCAAATAAACAGCAAGTCCTTATGACTGAGGTCTGGAGGGGCTGGGGGCAGCCCGTGGCCTGAGGAAAGGGGGACCTGGGCTTAGGTGGGACAGGAGAGAGGCTGGGCAGGGCGGAGAGGGGAGGTGGTGGAGCAGGGGCCACCTTCTCCTGGCGGAGGGAGAGGGGGTGGGGAGGGCCGCTGGGCAGTAGCCAGCCCCGGGCCTGGGCGCACATCTGCCCGGGAGAAGCAGCCCTGCCCAGGCGCCACCGCAGGCTGCCCTAGTCAGGAGATCTCATTGCCAAACACCTCCAGCACGAGAGGCGTGAGCTTCATGCTGCACTCGGGCTGGAAGGAGAGGCAGCGGTACTGCTTGGAGTGCTCCTCGTTGAGGCTGCGCAGGTCAGCCAGCTTCTGGATCATCTTGGCATAGAGCAGGTGGCTGCCCGGGGGTGGGTGGCGGCAGCGGATATAGGTCTGCAGCGTGTTGGACAGGCGGTCCTGGATGGCCTCGACCAGCGCGGCATCCTGTACCCCAGGCCGGTCTGTGGGCACGGGGTGGAGGAGGAGACACAGGAGCTCTGAGCCGGGCCCCTCACTACTCAACCTCGCCGCCACCCCCATCTACGCAGACACCCAACCACGGCACCCCCAGGTCACCGCTGTAGGGCTGCTGACCTGTGACACCACTGCCCAATCCAAAGCCCCACAACAACTTCCCATTGCATTTAGGATCCCGGGTCCCCTGTCCCCGCCTCACCTGGCTCCCTGTCTCTCTGCTCTGTCCTTCCATCAGTGTCCGGATGCGCCACGCTACCTGGCCTCAGGCTTCATGTGTGTGCCCTCTGCCTGGAACTCAGCTCTTCATTTCTGTCTGACTCGGACTGACCCTTCAGGTGCCAGTTCCCTCAAGAAGGCTGCTCCTGACAACCCTCTACCTCCACGCCCCAGACGACATCAGATTCCCTCCCTCTATTATACTCTCCTGTAGCATCATGTCTTTGTTTTTTGTAAACTCTCATCATATTAGGAATTAGTTGTTAAACAGCACCTGTTTTATGTCTCCTCCTAAGCTTCATGGGAGAGAAGTGTGTCCTATTTGCTGCTGAATCCTTATGCCTAGCTCAGTGCCTGGTACCTCATAGGTGCTCAATAAATCACTGAGTGTATGAGTGAATGAGTGTGTGAATGCCGGCCGGGCAGGGGGAGGGGAGCCTGTGTCCATTCCTTGGGCTCCCAGCCCTGGAAAACACCCCTGGGCAGAGGCCACTGGCTTGTACCCTGAACACTATCTAGGCAGAGGCAGAGCTGTCTCCCTTTGGGACTCATCACAAACATAACAGGCCTAAAGCCACAATAACTTCCTCTTCAGCCTTTTCTCCCTCTTCTCACCCCAAAGAAGCAGAAGAAGCCAAGTGTCACAGCACATTGTTTCCAAAATGAGTCCAGTAAACTGTCTAGGCAGAACGTCCATCAGGCCCAGGGTTTTGACCCTGCCTCTGAAGAGCCTCATGTAACAGGAAGGTTTGGCTCAGTTCACATAAGAGCAGAGCCTGAGTATGGGAAGACTCCGGTGTTTCTGTGGCCTGAGGAACCCTGTTCCTCTCGTTCCTCAGAACCCTCCCTGTGGACCACCTACAGTCTCTGTAGGGCAAAGCCAAGGGCAGCGAGGGACCCCTCAACACACACCCAATGGGCTGTGCAAACCCAGCAAAGTAGGCGTTTCCTTATCCACCACTCCTTCTGCTCACTTCTCCTTGCAGCTAGCCCTGCTGGCCCTCAGCAGTCTTTGTCACCCTGCCCACTTCCCAGGTCCCCAAGTTCTTCCCTGCTAGGCCCATACCTGGGGAGACAATGCAGATGGCCATGAGCAGGACATGCTCCTCCTCATGCAAGTTCAGCTTCTTCAGCCCCACCTGGAACTTGATGAGGGGCTCAATCAGCTCCAGGCTGTGTCCAGCTGTGGAGACAATGACCAGGTGCTGTGGGCAGGACTGAGGAGCCACTCACCCCACCACCAACCCTGACTGGGCCTACCCCTCACCCTTCTCTCCTTGTTTTTGCCAAGCCCCCGCCCATGTGCCTGACCGGGGCCCACGGCCAAGGGGTGCAGGGAGAGTCCAGACGCACCTTTGGCCACATCACGGACATCGTACTTGTAGTCGTGGCTGCCACAGGTCCAGGACATGTCGTCCATGGTGAAGGACTGATTAGAACGCAACATGATGACTTCGATGGCGCTTGACTTCAGCAGCACGATCTGGTCCTCAGAGGTGAGGTCTCTGCCAGGGAGGGCAGGGGAGGAGGTCAGGTCAAGACTTTCAAGACATACAAATCAGTTTGGTGTTTTGACAGGTATACACCTGCCAGGTGACCAGCATGTGCCCTGAGTCCTCCATCGAGGAGCTTCCAGCCTCGTTGGAAAGGACAAGAGTGTTCCTTGAGAGAGCACAGCGAAGGATGTGATCATGTGTCGAGGTGAGCAGGGAAGTAGCTCAGTTACCAAGACAAGGAAAACCCAGTGACTGCACAGCCAGAGCTTTTAGAGACAGGAAGATAAAGCCTGAGAAAGCTCCAGTGCTGTGGTATAACATGGTGGTCTCCAAATGGTATGGGCAGGGTCACCTTCAACAACTCCCACATTTTGTTTTCTTCTCCTTCCTCCTGTCCTCCAGTCCTTCTTAGTAGCAAATTCAGCCAACTCTGTCTCCAGGCCATCTCTCGAGCCCTTGACCTTGGGCTCCCTCACCCCAGGACTGCTCTGGCTTAGAGCTCCATCCTCTTTTACAACAGCCTCCTCCGGAATCTTGGACTCAAGTCTCAGGTCTCATCCATCTTTCTTATTGCCGACACAGGTGAATGTCACTCCTGTGCTCAGAAATCCTTAATGACTCTCAAACACGCCAGGATCAAGCCCATACTCCATAACTCGGCACCAACCTGTCTTTCCTGCCCCCTCTCCCATTGCAAACTCTATGGACCGTCCATTCTAGCAACATCAGGCTACTCTGAATTCAGATGCTGTGCGTTCTTGCACCACCATGCCTTTGAGCATACTGCGACTCCAGCCAGGGATATCCTTCTAATGCTCTATCCTGTCCTTCTGGTCCCTGGAGCCCCCGCTCTCCAATAGTAGGCCCCGGGAGCCTACTCTCTCCAGCGTAAGTAGAGCCATTTCTTTCTGACCCATTGCACATTGCTGCTGCTCCTATTTTGCCCTTTCCCCTCAGCTCTGTTATTTATAGGCTTGTCTCTGGCTCTTTTTTTTAATTAAATTTGTTTTTTTAGAGACAGGGTCTTGTTCTGATGTTTAGGCTGGAATGCAGTGGCATGATCAAACTCACTGCAACCTCCAACTCCTGGGCTCAAGTGATCCTCCTGCCCCAGCCTCCCAAATAGATGGGACTATAGGAATACATCACCATGTCAAAATTTTTTCTAGTTTTTGTAGAGACAGGATCTCACTATGTTGCCCAGACTGGTCTCAGACTCCTGGCCTCAAGCGATCCTCCTGTCTTGGCCTCCCAAAGTGCTGGGATGATAGGCATAAGCCACCGCACCCAGCGTCTGACTCTTATTTGTAAGGTACTTGAAGGCTAGCACCAGATCTTAATTACATAAATGTTGTTCACACACTGATCATTGAACCTTGAGCACAACAAGAGGATCAATAAATATTGCTAATGAGTGGAGAGGAAAATGCGCTATTCTGAATCACGAGTCACATTGGGCTTGTTCGAACAATAGCAAGGAAAAAACAGGGCCCATATTTCAACTTGCTTCCAAGCTTTTATTCCCGTTCTCTTCCTGTCTGCTTCCTCCTGGACATGCTGTAGATGGGCTGCCATCCCCCTGCGGCTGAATGTTGGTGTGTAAGGCAGAAAGCAGATATCAACTGATGAGAGTTTCGTATTAGCAGGGGACAGATGACGGGGCATGAAAAGGCTGGTGTGATCAGGGCGCCGGCAAAGCATCTGTATGGAAAAAATCACAAAGTGCTGGAGTTGGAAGGCTCCTCCTAGAGCCTGTGTGGTCCAATTCCTCCTCCAGCATTCCTGACGATGGCTCTGACGCAGCCCCTGCAGGGTTCTCCTGGTGTCAGGGAGCTCACGCCTGTGGATACAGCCACAGGTTGTCAGCGCCTGGGTTAATGGCCTCTTCTTCTGTCGAGCTACAACCCACATGGTGATGTACTCATTCGTTGCTTATAGTCTCTCGAGGAACACAGAACCAGACTTCTCCACTAGCGGTGGGACTTCCCTTCACCCATGGCTAGTGGAAATTTTCTTTTGAAAGAAAACTACTACGTCCTCCTTCTGTCTTCTCCAGGACAGACAGTCTAATGACATGGTGTCTAAACCTCTCACCATCCTTGTCACTTTTCTCTAGATGGTCAATCCACATTTGAAATATAAAAACTAACACCACCTCTATTTTAGTCTTAACTTGTTATGCAAGTAAAACATTTATTATCACATCTTCGGAAAATACAGAAAAAACATAAAAGCAAATGAAAATTGCTCACAACCACAGTTAACATTTTGGTGTATTTCCTTCCTATGCTTTTTCTATGAAAAATATATATGTTTTGAACATACTTGAGTTCATACTAACTCTGTATCCCACTTCCTATATCACTTAACATCCTTTAGCCCAATGCTCAGTGGGTTCCATAATGTTACATCATAGCAATATACTAGACGTTATTTAATCAGTCTCCCATGTGCCTATTTTTGGACATTTTGGTTGCTTCCAAACTTTTGCTAGGTAATTCTGTGTGGGAATCTTCGTACATAACACGTTGTTCGATGCCCACTCAGAATGGACGGCCCATGGTGAACACACGTTGCATGGGTGTGTGGCCAGAGAGATTTCAGCGGATCGCTGCTTATGGTGATCCAGAACACTACTGTGATCAAAGCAAACCTAAAACGACCTCAAATTACCACCCACAGCCTGGAAGAACAGGGACTTTCTAAGTGCAGGTCACAGCCAGAAGCAGGGATAGTGGTGGGGTGGGAGTTGAAGGGGCATGGGGGAAACCAGTCAGAGCTTGTCCTGCGATGGCAGGCTCAGCCCGGGCTCTGTGCCTCCTGCCTGACCTGTGTGATGTCCACACCCTGGCACCGTGCGGCTGCCGCGTCCTCGCCACCCCCACAGGCAGAGCCCAGCCCCTCCTCCCCGGGATTCCCACGGTACCTCTAGCAGGTTTCTAGCAGAGCTCTTATCTCTCTGCAGCAATTGTTTACATGTCTGTCTCTTTCATCAGACACTGGATCTCTGGATGCCAGGGCCTGGGACCTAGTTGACTTTTATCCTTCGCAGTTTATATAAGAAGGCAATTTGTTGGACAGATGAGTAAACAAATGTAGAGAAAGGGGCATAGGATGAGGGAAGCATGGTGACTCCCAGGACTTTGGCCTGAGAAGGAGCCCTGGAAATGGAATGGCAGTGAAGTGAAAGGTATTTAGCCCGGGGTTGGGCTCCAGCTGATGTGGCCTTATCTCTTGTGCACTTTACTCAGGAGTGAAGCCTGAAGGTCCTAAGTCCTCCAGTCTAAGGCTGCTCCTGGCCATTTGGGTGCTGCTACTGACGGCACCTCCTCCATGCCTTTCTTTTGCGGCAGTGCCAACAAGGAGAGAGATTTGTGGGGTGAGGCTGAGAGGCTGAGGGAGGGAGGTGGGAGGAGGGAACAAGGCCAAGGCCGCAGTTCACGCCCAGAACAGCCCATCCAGTCCTGCCCCACGTTGGTCTCACGCTTGCATGGGAGACTCATCCTGCCCCCTCCCCACTCACCCACACAGGAGTCTCATCCTGCCTTCCCCACACCCTCTGCCCCCGCCTACAGGCAGTGAGATCAAAGCCACCAGGGAGGCAGCCACTGTTCTTTCAGTTCTTGGAAAAACAGAACCCAGCAGAACCAGAGAGCTGCTGGGCTGGCCCCACCTGGGCCCAACTGAAGCCTGGGCTTGGGCTCCAGTCCAGGCTTGGCATCACCTCTGTCCAGCCACAGAGAGTGTCCTCATCAGTGTGTCCCCCTCCCACCCTCCAGGAGCTCTTGCCAAAGCTGGAGCCATTTTCACTGGACAACATTCTGCTCTGGGACTTTTCAAGCTATGCTGAAGAGAGAGAAGCCAACTCAGGGATGTTCAGGATCAATTTAACCCATTTTGCATCAATGGCTGGGCAGCTCCAGTACCTGCCCATATGCGCCTCGCTTTGGCCATGACTGCAGGGCTAGACTGGGGAACCTTGGGGACAGTGAGGAAAGGAAGGTGGCATGTTTCACCTCCACCTTGGGGAGAGAAATTGAGGGGAGGGTGGTGCTATTCATGTAAGGTATGGGGGAGGGTAAGGGACAATGACCAAGGGCATGGGGTAAAATGGAAGCTAGGGTTACTTGGTGATAGGGGCAGCATTGGAGGGATCTGGTTTAATACATAACTTTCCCTTTAGGACCTTTTTCGCATGTGTGCCATCCCAGCCACCACCTAGAATCTCTGAACCTTGGTATCTGGAGCTTGGGGGCCCTCTGTCCAATTCCCCACCAGAGCAGGGAACGATGAGTCCTGTGTAGGTGAGGACAGCTGCCTGGCATCAGGATGGATGCCAGTGCTACGGTGTTTTCCCCCCAGCTGTTTACACAAAACAAGACTTTGGAATACATGGAATACTTTGGAATACTTTGCAAACAATGATGTAAAGGATGGAGGAAGGAGTCGGAACTTGTGCTCGGTGGAATGTGTCTTCAGTTCCAAGGAAAGGCTCGGAGGGTAAACCGCGGGCCCAGCACAATGCCGGGCTCGCAGATCAGTCATTTGCTCCTGCCTGCCTGCCAGAGGGGCTCTGACTCCTGCTATTACAACCAAAATGTGCCATGCAGCAAGAGTGTCTCAACACCATTTGATGTTTTTCTCTTCTTCATGATTTTCACGTTAATTCCAGGGAAACAGCATTGGAGAGTTTCTGGTGTTTGGGTTGGTGAGAGGCATAAAGTAACAGGGAGCCAGTCGTTTTCAGGCAGAAACAAACTGGGAAGTGCTGGGTCTAGTCCTGTGAATTATCATCAACTAGCTGGCAAGGTGGGGATTTAGACAATAACGAATAGCCTCCCGGCATAGCAGAGGGGTCCTCAAAACAATAAATGGCACCTCGTATTAGTTCCTATCCAGAGCTGGCCGATGTTAGTGCATTTTCCAGCTACCAATATTCCAGCACTGAGTCTGAGCACCAGTATCTAGGAGGCATTCTGCCTTCTGCTGTAACTACAACTATTGCTACTACTTGAAATGCTAACAATATTGCCTGATATTGATTTATTTCTGTCTATTGCTGAACTACATCGTGTATGTTTTTTTTTTTTTTTTTGAGACAGAGTCTCGCTTTGTTGCCCAGGCTAGAGTGAGTGCCGTGGCGTCAGCCTAGCTCACAGCAACCTCAAACTCCTGGGCTCGAGCGATCCTTCTGCCTCAGCCTCCCGAGTAGCTGGGACTACAGGCATGTGCCACCATGCCCGGCTAATTTTTTATATATATATATCAGTTGGCCAATTAATTTATTTCTATTTATAGTAGAGACGGGGTCTCGCTCTTGCTCAGGCTGGTTTTGAACTCCTGACCTTGAGCAATCCGCCCGCCTCGGCCTCCCAAGAGCTAGGATTACAGGCGTGAGCCACCGCGCCCGGCCTATCATCGTGTATGTTTTTTATGGCAATGTACCAAATGACCATTTGGAAAGAATAAGGATATAAATTTGCATAAATACAGATATAACTATTTACCAACAGATCTACTAAACCTGCCAATACTCTATTGTTTTAAGAATATTTAACACTGCATAAATATTTTAACATTGGTATTAATACAATAAAACATGGGAACGAATGTGTGAAATTCGTATGAATGAATTCATAGAGAAGGGTCCCTACTCCAGTAGAAATCCTTATTCCTAACTATTTTGGCAAAAAGGTTTTAGTTTGGTTAGGAAATGGTCTTTAAATGTAAATTTTGGTGACAGATGCCCAGGTCATATGTGCCAGCAAACGTGTCCCCCTCTAGTACCCCTAGACTATTTCACAAGTCCACATGGCCAGGCTTTCTCTTCTCTATCGTTTATTCTGGTCTTGCAATTGGGTGTGGAGGAATAATGCAGGCTGAATTTAAAGGGATAACATGAGGATTAGAGTCAAGCCAGAGGAAGTAGGCACAGCAGTGAACTGGGAGTTCCAGGCCTGGCTCAGCTGTCTGCACCTCGGGGATGGGACCCTGGCTGGCCATCAAACCTCTCTGGGCTTTCACCCCATCATCCAGAAAGTGAGAGGATGGGCTAGCTCTCCAGCACTGGCCCACAGAGTAATACAGAATGGGCTGCACTTCCTAAAATACAGATTCCTGTACCTATCCCAGAGACGCTGATTTAGGTCTGGGTGGGGCCTGAGTCTATTTGGGGAAAGCAGTGGACTGGTGGTCTCCAAGGCTTCTTCCTCCTCAGTCTAGGGTTCTGACTCTGCTCCCCAGAAGTCATAGAAGCTTCTTACCTGAATCCTGGGATCATCTTGGCAAAGCCGATGACCTTTTGGATGCTGTAACTGACCAGGTCAGCCAGGTGGGGCAGCATGGAGAGCTGGGACAGGTCCAGGGTCACAGAAGGGTCATCTGAGTCCTCTTCGTTCAGATCCAGGTTGGAGAAGCTGGACGGCTCCATCATGTCTGGGAAAGACGAGGGAAGAGAAGGAGCTATTTGAGGACATTCAGGCCAGGCCCCTCCTGCCTGCCGCTGTGTGGACCCCGTATGCTCTGGCAGCAGGGCCAGCTGGGATCCCACAGTGACCACCTCTCTCCACAGGTCACTCTTTAGCCCTAGGTTCCCTCTGCAACTCTCCCAGTCTCTTCTTTCAGCAGTGGGAAGCAGTGAAATCAAAGAGCCAGACGTACTCAGAGAAATGAGACTCCCTAGAGCCAGGATTTTTCGGACCACGTGTTGTTTCCCATGATCTCAATCAAAAATGAATTTGGGTCCAAGCAACCCATGGGGGAAAATGTTCAACCTCACTAGTGATCGAAGAACTGCAAAGTAGAACATTTACACTTTTCACCTGTAAGCCAGAAACAAGTAGGTTTACATGTTGGTATCAGTATTTGTAGAGATGCAGGGAATTAGGCAATCCTTACAAAGGGCTGGGGTGCTAAGGGAGCTGTACTTTGTGCAGGTAATCTAGAAAACCATCTGGCACTATGGGTCGAAAGCCCACAGTTGTATATACTCTCTGACTGGTAAGCCAACTTCCATGAAATCATCACAAGGAAAAAATCCAGAATAAGTGTAAATATTTAGCCACACATATACTATCTTACTGAAAAGCTGGGAAACATTCTAGATACCCTATCTTTTAAAAAAGATATTCTAGATGTATACCCAATGATATGGAAATATGATACAATATACCATTAAGAGAAGAAAAGCAAGTCATCAGTCTGTATACAGCACAATTCCATTTCTGAATATACATACATGTTTTAAAAAAAAGATAGGAAAAAAATATATCATAGTGTTAACCATGATTATCTTTGGGTAGTAGGATTAAAGATTATATATATATATAATTTAGTTTATATTTTCTAAATGTCTATGCTGAACATGTATTACTTTTGTATAACAATGTTTAAAAAATTTAAAAAGTTAACTTGTTTAATTTGTATAGCTTTTATAATTTTTATAATTAAATAACTATAGTATTAATACATAGTTATTTAATTTTTAAATAACTATATGCTATACTGAACATACCATCGCTGGGAGTGAGCACTCTGAATCAATTAACCCATGAGAGGACATCAAAACTCCTAAATAATATGAAAGTATTATTAAAAAGTGAAGTACAGGCCAATGTATAGATTATAGATTATAGATTATAGATTATTATTTGTACATTGGTACAAATGAATATGCCACCACGTGGAAAAAGCAGGAAGGCTCCTACCAGGTGAGGGTCTGGGAGGGTCCGTGCAGCTGTCGGTGCTCCTCTGCAGTGCCCCCCACTTCCCTCCTGTCACTTCTGGGTGGGTGGACATATGTCTGGCTCTAACCACTATCTCTGGCTGGGGGACCAGGCACTTGGACCCCTTCTGCCTGTTCTGAATCTGGAAGTACCATATCTCAGGGTTCGAGCTGTCCTCACAGGAGGGGGTTTTTGAATCTCTGCCCTCCTCCAGGCCTCAACCAGAGGACACCAGGGTTGGGCGACAGGCACAGAGAGGAAGGACAAGGACAGGGGGAGGATGAGGCAAGATGATGAAGAGGAAGGTAGAAAAGGGCTGTATGAAGAAAAGCACAATACCTCCCAGACTCTCTGGTGAGCTGGAGGTGACAGGTCTTCCAGTCCCACAGCGGTCCCTCAGGGCTCAGGTGGAGTGTGGGCCGCAATGGGACCCACACACTCTCCCTCCCACCCCAAATTTCACCTTCCAAACAGCCCAGGATCAAAACACCATTTCAACAAATGAGGCCATCCCCAGGGAGGGGCCTCGGCCAGAACCCTGGCTTAGAGGGGAGAGCACGGCTTGGGAGGCCCCTGCACAGCGGGGACCCCAGCTTGGCCCCTTCCCCAGCATGGGCCCCTCATCTGTACAAGAGGGGCTGATTTGAGGACACTGTGCGGCACTCAGTATATAAGTGCTGTTCATGTCAGGGAGCCTTCTGCCTCTTTCAGTCCACAGCCCAAGGGCAGGTGGGTCCTGCTTACCTGGAGAGGTGATGTAGTGATCTGAGCAGGAGGAAGAGGAGTCCCCGGAGAAGCTGGCGGTGTGTCTCGAGTTGGGCCTGGAAGGAAGGCTCCCTCCACCCTCGCCTTCGCGAACTGGAGGCTGGAAGGGAAAGGCAGGGTCTCAAAGACTCATATTTTGGGGCCACATTCCTACTTTGGCTCTTGGCTCTTTTTTTTTTTTTTTTGGTGACAGAGTCTCACTCCGTTGCCCGGGCTAGAGTGCTGTGGCATCAGCCTAGCTCACAGCAACCTCAAACTCCTGGGCTCAGGTGATCATCTGCCTCAGCCTCCCGAGTAGCTGGGACTACAGGCATGTGCTAATTTTTTCTCTCTATATATTTTTAGTTGTCCAGCTAATTTCTTTCTATGTTTTTTTAGTAGAGGTGCGGTCTTGTTCTTGCTCAGGCTGGTCTTGAAATTCTGAGCTCAAATGATCCGCCTGCCTCAGCCTCCCAGAGTGCTAGGATTACAGGCGTGAGCCACGGCGCCCGGCCTGGCCCTTGGCCCTGGATCTCTCATAGGAATGGCTTCAAGGAAGGTCCACGGGAGGGGAGGCCTCCTGGTACCCAGGGGCAGACCAGCCTCCGGCCTTCCACTGGCTCTGTGCCAGGACACCCCTCGCCCTCCACACCCACTCCCTGTCTCCTCCAAGTCGGCTCATCCTGCCGGCCAGCAGGCGGACGCACCCGGAACTGGCTGAAGTCGGCATAGGTGGGGTCGTAGGTCTTGTGGTGGGCGTCCAGCAGGATGGTGATGATGCGCTGCTGCTCCTCGGACAGCTTGGGCCGCAGACTATCCTTCAAGGCCTCCTCCTCCTTCCGCTTCAGGATCATCTCGCGCTTCCGCTGCACCTCCTCATCCGTCAGGATGACTGTGGGGGCGGGAGGGGGGTCAGGAGGGCCGCAGCCCCTCCAAGAAACCTTTCTCCATGATTAAAGGCCCAAGATGGGAGGGGCTTCAACACTCGGGGCTCCCTGGGGGGCCCCTGCCACGGGGACTCCGACTCCACTGTATGGAGGAAAATGGGGTTCTCTATGATGAAAAGGGAGGTACATGCAGGAGAAAAAAGAGAGAGAATTTAAGGGGCAAGATGGTCTGGGCACCTGGGAGGCTGGGTTCTCAAGAATGCATTGTGAGACCTGGGGCGAACTGTTTCAGCTCTCTGGACTTTCACTCTCTAGCTTGGAAAATGAGAGGTTTGGACCAGACAATCTCTTCTAAGGTCCTTTTCTTACACCTTCCTCCATAAAGCATGTGTTTGTGCGCAGGTGGAGCAAGTGATAACACCCACCTCAGAGGATCACCTGATTTGAGAACTGCACGCCTGCCTGGCACAGAGCAGAGGCTCACTGAACGTTAGTTCTCTCCCTTCCCCACAGCCCTCTCCCCACCGTGCTGCATGATCCTGAAGAAGACATCAGGGTGGAGAGAGGGGGAGAGAGTAACTGTGGATGCTTGTGGGGCTGGAGGCTGCGAGATGCTGAGAAGACTCTGCATGGCTGTTCCCACATCCAAGTTTCCAGACATGGAACTCGGGCATCTAGTCCACTCTAACCAATGGAGGAAGACTTGGCCTCTTTGGTTCTCTGCAGGACAACCCCTTCTGCAGCTTGTACAGTATTGACATTTCTGCCCGTGGGAGTTTCTTGAGTCCTCTTGCAGGCCCTGAAGGCTGAGGCCTCACAGTTCCAATCTTGGAAGTTCTCTCCATCCGCTACTTAGGGTGTTGGGCCACAGGGAGCCCCTCTGCCACCTGTGGGCTTGTACAGGGGCATGTGCCTGACTCCCGGTGCTGGGGCAGCTGCCTGGGCAGGTGGGGCTGGGAACAGGGATACCTGGCCCCCGTGCCAGGCAAACAGACCTCCTGGCCAGGGCTTGTAGAGCGCTGGCGGCAGGAGTGGGCACCAGGGCCCTTGGCCTGTAGCTACTTGCTTGGTGCTGGTGCTGCCAGGGCATCTGCCCACAGAGCTGGGGAGTTTCACAAGAGCAGGCAAAGGAACCAGAACCTCAGAGTACGTGAGTGCCAGGCTTCAAGAAAGGCCCACTGGCCGGGGCCCCTCAGGTAGCGGGAGGACAAGAAAAGTTGGTGGAGGGCGTGGACAGCGGGTGCCACAGGCATGGCAGGAAGGGGAAGCCTACCGCAAAGACGGAACGTCCCTGCACAGCTGGGGTAAGCCCTACCGAGAGAGGGCCTGGGAGGAGGCCACGCCCAGGAGACTGACTCACCTGCCCAGAGCACTGCCAGCTCTCCTCCCACGGAGGGTGTCTGCCAAGACCCTACGGGGTCAGGCAGGGTGGGGGTGGAAGGGGCAGAGAGCACCCCAGGGAGAGGCAGGGTGTAAGGTCCTAGCCTGGGGAATCCAAGATTAGGTGTCTGGTCTTTCCTGCTCACCTGAGGGGTGAGGCAGAGGAGTTGGTGACACTGGAGCTAGGGAGACCTGGCATGACACTCCCTGCCAGGGCTGTCTACAGGCATGTCCCTTGGCCTTACTGGACTTTTCTATATGATTCTATGATGTGATTCTCCTGCTCTAGGCATGCTGGCATTGCTGACCTATGAGCGCGGCCTGCTCACTCTTGCCCTGCCTTTCCACCTGTGCTGGGTGCCTGTCCAGCTGGGTCTCCCCCGTAACCACATGAGCGCTTTTGGTTCTTCAGTGCCCAGCCACAGCCAGCCTTCTTTTGCCATGAAGCCCTTCATGATTGCCCTGATCTGCATGAGCCTCGTCTCTTATGCCTGCTGCATATTTCCCACGCACGTTGGTGCCCAGTTGCCTTCCACTCTCTAGACTCATGGTTAGTACAGGTTTCAGTCGATGCCTGCAGAAAGAGCCTAGGAAGTCCAAGGTCTCCCTAGACTGTAGGTTACTTAAGGGCGGGAGCCACATCTTATGACTCTTACGTTTCCCCACAAAGGCTAGTGCAGTGGGGCTGCCTGGCCATGGTTCTTGCTCCATAGTCTGACACCGGACAACAAGCACATCAACTCAGCACTGGCAACTACAGTGTGCCAGTCACTTTACTGGCTCAGAGGGGACAGTGAGCAGTGCTGTAGTTTTGCCTGTGCCCTGCAATGCCGGGAATGGCACTCAGCATGCCATCCAGACTGTCCTTCAAGGCCTCCTCCTCCTTCCTTTGCTCATAGCTGAGCAAAGATGACCTCTTTCATCTTAATAGCTGTGATTAAAATCTTTTCAAGACAAAAAACCTTGTAACGGAACACTTGTAACCTTTTCCTGATGATTCAGAGCTGAACTCTGCAGGGCAAGGTTATGACCTCAGCGTTGTCTGGGGCTCGTTGCCCTCCACCGTGTGGCTCAGCCTGCTGTGCCTTGCAGTCCTTGTGCCGCTCTTCACAGCTTTCAGCGTTAGCTGTGGGTTGTCTCTTCTTATTGGTGCCTGCCTCTAGAAGCGTGCTTTCCTTCCCCTTAGGAGTGACTTCTGATTCTGAGCTAGAAATTCTGGTGATCGAGTTTGATGTAATAAAAAGCTAATAGTAATAATCATGGATAATACATACAGAGTTTTGCTATGCACCAGGCACTATTCTAAGTGCTTGTTGTGTATTAACTCATATATTCAGTCCTCATAACAGCCCTTTAAGGCAGGTGCTAGTGTTATCCCCATTCAGCAGACGTGGGAACTGAGGCCCTGAGAGGCTATATGTCTTGCTCAAAGTCACACAGCTAACCAGGGATGGACATGGCATTCGGACCTGGGCAGTCTGTTCCAGAGCCAATGGTCGTAACCACTGCCCTATACCGTGTCTGCTTATAACCAGTTAGAACTGATCCGCAGAACTTGGCTCTCAGCTGTGCGGTCCTGCCCACGAGGGGCTCCAATCCCTCTGAAGAGTGTGCAAATGAAATAAAGTTGCAAAGCTTGTAAAGGATTTACTTTAAAAAGAGAAAGAAGATTCAAGGTTAACCTTACAACATCCTTCCTCCAAGTCACTTGTATCCAATAGCAGCCACCATCCTCTGTGTGGGTAAGAGAGAAGGAAATGCTGAGATCTGCCGGTTTCAAACTGGGCGCCCACTCACGGGCCTCCTGCAAGGCAAGACTGTTTTGGGACTGAATAAGTCCTAAGTCTCTTACGTGTGCAGATGCTATTGCGATGTATGAAATGATTTGTTTCAAGGGGTCATTAATTTCATAGGAAATTTACAATCATTTTCTGAATGAATTGATACTAAAATGCTATGACTATCATGTGGGAAGACACATGTTTTGAAGTTAAAAGGCACTGACCTAGAATGAGAGCAAACAGGCTCTGAAAGAGTGCTGGGCTCTCCAGTGAATAATGTGCATGAGCTTTGGCATGTGGACTTTGTAAAACCCACCTGGCTGCTCAGTAGCTTTTGTGACTTCCTCCTAAGCTCCTTGTTGAGTGTGAAATAACTCTGTGAGAGTTACTGCCATGCAAGATATGTTCCCTGCTTAACAAAGTTGAAATCAAGTTGGGAAGTCAAGATCTGCAAACATAAACAATTTAAACATATTTCAAGATGCCAAGGGTGGCCTAAGGACGACAACAGGGAAGAAGACATAAAATTTTTCCAGATGAATGACACAGACACTGTCAGGTTTGGGAGAATCTTACTGATCTCTAAACCAGTGGGAGGTACAGTGATACAAAGAAGCATAAGGGGGAGCTAATATTCATTCATTCATTCATTCAATTTGCACTTATTGAGCACCTACTATGTGCCAGGTGCTGTGCTGATGCTGGGGAGATACATATATGTAAAAACATTAAACAAGTTAACATAATAGATGGTTCTGTGCAGAACAGATGTAGCACAAGCAGAAACTCAACTATGGAATTTCTTGGGTTCTAAGGCCATAAAGTTAATAAGGACTTGAAAGGGAAGGAAAGTAGTCTTCCATGGGAACAAAGCTCTCTTCAGCCCATCTCTTAGGGCCCCAGGAAGCGCCCAGAAATGCACAACAGAGTGAGCTCTGGTGCACTGGGGGCGCCCGAGGGGCTGGCCTGGGGTGCAGCCCACAAGCCTGGCCTTTGGAAGTAGAAAGACCTAGGTTGGAATGAATGCTGGCACTATCATCTTATTAGCTGAAAGGCATGGTATTTTAATTCCTCCAAGCTTCCTCTCAGCTATTAAAAAAGTAGAAGTATTTACACATTTAGGGAGTGTTGTGAGAATTGGGGGAGAAAATGCACGTTCCTGACATGATATCTGATACACAGGAGAGAGTCAAAAAAACTTTGGTTTCCTTCCTCTGCCTCCTCTGTGCAAGGGCCCGTTCCCTGCCCTGGCCAACAGGGAGCCCGGGTTTTTACAAATGTGTTTTTTTTTACAAATGTTAAGACATTCAGTTGCCTCTGGGACAACAGCCATCCCAGGTGATAAATAAGCAGATATACTATCAAATCCCCTGAAGCTGCACTAACTTGAGGCAGGGAACTGTATCCCTTCCTGGACAATCCAATGTTTCTATTTTAGCTGGAGCTCTAGGGCCCAGCCCTGGGAGCCCTGCTCCAGCAGCCCGTCCACAGCTTGGTACAGCTCCCTGTACTAGGGTCACAGGAATGCTGTGAACAAGGGCCTCCCCTGGGTATACAGCAGGCCTGGAGACTAGGCTGGGGTGGGGGGGCTGAGGCACTCAGATGACTTAGAGATACACTTCTGGGCTGCTGGCCCTAGCACATGGTGGGGTGCTCTTAGGGCAGGGGCCCCAAGTCACCCAGGGCCTGGTGCTGGTCTTCACCAGGGACACAGTGCTCTCTGCTGGCACAAGGAGGGGTCGAGGAGAGTGCATGGAGTTGGATTCTAGACCCAGCTCAGCCTCAGCATTTGTGACCCCAATCCTGGTGTTTTTACCTCTCTGAGTACCAGATGTTCTTCCTATTCTAAGTTAATAGGACACTCCTTCCCCTGAGACATGGGAGTGGGGCCTCTCGTGGATCGGGGAGCTTGGCCCTATTGGGGACTTCTGCGGCAGTGCCTTACTGAACCCCAACAGTGAAACCCCGTGCCGTGCTTGGTCAGCAGCAGCCTCAGAACCCAGGCTCCGTTCCATGCAGAGGCCTGTGCTGTGCACCAAGACAGGGGCTGCCCCAGTGCACCTGTTTATGTCCGCCCTGGTGTCACGCTGAGCAGGCCCCATGGAGAATGTGTGCAAAGGCCCACGGGCACGCCACTTCTCATTCTCTCCAGGATAAACACCGGAGTCGGGCGGGGCAGGACTGGGGTAGGCGAGGTCGGCGTGTCCAGGCCTGAGTGCTCCTGTGGGGGTGAGGAGGAGCGGAAGCCTGGTGACTCCTGCCAGGGCGCCAGCATTGGCTGGGAAGCCGGATCCTCAGTGAGGAGGAGAGGAGCCCCCAGGAGAGGAGCCTCGGTCCAGGCCAGAGGAGGAGGCCGGAGGTGAGAGCCTCCACTCTGCCTCTCTTCTCCAACAACAGAGAATTAGCTTTCCTCTTAAGGAAGAAATTTCCCATCTTCTAAGCCCCGTCCTATGACTCTTCCCCTCTTCCTGACGCATCTTCCTGGTACCTTCTTCTCTCCATCCCCCAAGAAAGGTCCCTTAGCCAGGAGGGCCTGCATCTGAGCACCCTGCCAAGGCACCTCAGGCCCCCTGCTGGCAGGGCCTGGGCTGTGTCCTGAGGCCAGGCGGGGTTCTGGGTGCAGATGCAGACAGCAGCAAGCGAGGGGAGCAGAGCAGGGATGAGTGTGCAGGATCACCCCTGCCAGGGCTGGCCCAGTGCCCTGCTCCAGCCCAGGGACAGCCTGGTGAGCTCCTCCTGCATCTGCTGAATTCAATGGCTACTTTGGTTACCAAATAACTGTACTATAGCTCTGATGCAAAGTCCAAGTGTTGTTTGCAATGGTGGGTCAGAATATCCCTGTAAATCCACCATGTTGGACAGGAAGTCCTACAGGGTCACCCCTCTTCCTCCATCTGGATTGCATGGGCCATCCTAGAGCCCCAGTGTATCCCCTCAAAGACCCTTTCCCCTGGTCTCCCCCAGCCACCAACCCTCAGATCTGCTCATGAGGCCAGAGTGGCCAGAAGTCTCCAGTAGGGCAGAGCACAGAGGCCAGCAACGCTCCGAATATTTATTCTCTCCATCACTCCTTCCCTTCCCAGCCCACGGGACTCTCTCTCCGAAAGTCCAGGGAGTCCTGGGGTCCTTGAGCCTCATTCTTTCCTCCAGGTCCAAGAACAGGCAGCTGTGGGAATATGACGATGGCCTGGAGGAAGACCCTGACTGAGGAAGACCGTGCCCTACCTCTCCCTCCTCTCAGGCCTCACTCCAGAGGGGCCCTCTGGGGGCCTCTGAGACACACACACAGAGCCCAGAGAGGCTCACAGGATTGCTCGGGGCATTTGACCCTGGACTCCCATGCATGCCCCAGCCACAGACGCTGGTGGCTACAGAGGAAAGGAGGCAGACCTGTCTGTCCAAACCCACCCGGCAGGGGCCAAGGCCCTCCCCTGACCCCTCCCAGCCGCCTAGACACTCACACTCCTTCATCATGCCGATGTCTACGCAGCGCTTGAGCCGGCAGGCCTGGCAGTGGCGCCGGTTGTCCTTGGTGATGCGGCAGTCCCCGTTGAAGGGACAGGTGAACAGCGCCTTCCGCTTCATGCTTCGCCTGCAGAGAGAGCACATGCCCTGCCCTGAGTCACTGACCTTCTGGCTCCTCAGCCCTGGCTGCAGAGAACAGCCTACCAGGGCTGTGACCACAGAGACCTGTGTAAGAGCCCCCCAGACCTCCTTCTCTCTTGGCAACTGTCCACACTCACTTCCGGGCTGGGCGCCCCCTGCCCCTTCTCCTCTCACTGCCCTCTCAGCTCCCATCATGGCTTGTACTTACTTGTATGATCTCTGCTCCCCTCCCTCTTAAAAATTACACAGGAAATATATGAGTAAATTTTTTCTAGTAAAAATGTGTTAAAACACTGAAATCTGCATGGTAGCCCTCTTAATGTCTTATAATAAGCTATTGTGAGAGGCAAGGGTGCTAGTCTCAGCGTTCAGTCTTCGAGAGTCCAAGAGATCTGTGACTGGAACATTCCCTGTTCCAGGGATAGACATATGCATGGAAGGGAGCAAAGGCCCAAGCCATAGCTGCAGACATCTAAAGAGCCTGCCCAGAAAGGGAAGATACCAGGTAAGCAGGTGGGAGCCCTGAGGTTTGGCCTTGGCTTTCTGAAAGACAAACAGAAGCAAGGGCTCTGTAAGAACAGGAAACTACTAAAGGGTTCTTAGCTAGGAAGCTGCTGCCCCTGGTATCCTACATAAAACTCTATGTGTGTGTGTACACGCGTGTGCACATGTGTGCACCCCGTGTGCATGTGCAAGCTTGAGGGCTCATTTCCTAATTCTAACATTCTCTCCCACTGCCAGCCATGCCACATGGTGTTTGTGAGTCTGCATACAAGACACTTTCTCAGAGGCTTCTGGCCATCCATGTCCTAGAGGCTCCTGTTACTCAGAGGTCTCACTTTTTTGCCCCAGAGCAGGTGACATATTTAGCTGGGGAAAGATGGTGGCAAAAGCACTTTCTGCATGAGCAGCAGCACCTGTCAAGGAGCTGCTTAGTGTGGAGGAGCCCAGGCCTTAGAAGCAAAGGCCCAGCCCCAACCCTTTCCCTCCCGGAGATGAGCCAGTGACATCACCTTCTCTAGATGTCAGACACTAGTTACGATTCTTGGTAAAACAAAAATGACTCCCTGCTCATGTTCTTGAGAACATACACAAGGTTTAGGGTGATCGTACTCATCAGTTGACAGACTTGCTACAGCGAGGGGACAGATGGGGACCAAACCGGCTTGGCCAAGGGGATAGTAGAGAAGAGACCAGCATAAGGCTCTGTTGGCAGTCACAGGCAGACTCTTAGATCCACAGGGACCCAAGAGACCATTAGCGTAACCCTCTCACTTTCTCACCCAGAGTGAGAAATTTATCAGTCAGGCTATTCAGCAAGAAGTTAAGGCTCCTAGGTCTAGAAGTCTTAGGGATCTGAGGCTCAGCTTTTAGCTTCAACCCCAGTATGTTTTCAACCCCAGAAATGTAAAGTGCTCAATGAAGTTGAGCCCACAGGCAAATAGCTGCACGTGGCTGGCCCTAGAGCACAGCTCAAGGCCAAGAATGACCCAGTGGTTGAGGAAGCAGCTGCTGTTGGCTTTGGAATTTGGCTCTGGCACCTTCCTGTGACAACCTTCATCACCCAGGGGCCACCAGCAGAGCTGGGCTGCAAGGAGGTGAAATGGCCCCAGACTGTCAGGGGGCAACCTGTCCTGCCCCGCAGTAACCAGCCAGAGATTATATGCCAGGCTTTTGTCCCCGACCTTTTCAGAAACAAGAAGCGTTTGGCCTTTCACCTCTATACCTCTATTGCAGCTTTCCAGAGGGACAGGAGAATGTGGAAGTACCTTGTGCACTGTTAGGGCTCCCCAGGTATGAGATATACTTGTTACCTTAGGGCCCATTTGTATATTCCAGGATGGGAGTTTGGTGGCCCTCCTTTCTCCTTTCCCTCCTTTCCACCTGGTGGCTCTTGAAGCTTCATCTGTTACCACAAACGCTCAGGCCCCAGAATGCCTATAATTCTCCAAAGCTACACACAGACCAGAATTTTCTAGTTTAGAGATAATTCTCTCTTTTCTTTTCTTTTTATATTTTCACAACCAGGAACCTTGCCCAGGGGCTGAGGGACTGCTCTATCCTCTCACCCACTGTCTTGTCTGGCTCAGAGCTCTTCTTGTTAAGCCTCCAGGGCCACCTACACCAAGAGCACCTACAAGCCCAGTAGGTACCTCCAGAGATATGAGCCAAAGCCTCTCATAGCCCTGGGCTGGGGGCTGCCAGCTTCCCGGGACCTGCAGGCCAATCTCTGGATTCCACACACCAGAAAGTTAGAGATAGCCACTGGGCTCAACTTCACCTGACAACAGGAATGGACTCTAATGAGGCTGGCAGTAGAGATAAAAACTAATGCAGAACTGGGTTATAAGAAAATACTGGAGGGGGAAACCCCAGTGCCCTTGCTTCCTGCTTAAGAGTCATAGTCTGAAGTCCAAGAGCATTGAAAAAGGAGAAGAAAACATCCTCACACTCTGGAGACTGGGGCCAGTGCTCTGGGGACAGAGAGCCCCACTGGCTCTGATAGACCCAAGTCCTTCCTGGAACCCTGTCTGGCCCAGCGTGGCTATTTGCTGGACCACAGGTCCTGTTGGCTCAGAGGTCCTGTTCTTCCCTGTTCTGCTGCCTTCTAAGGGCACTTCCACACATGTGGCTGTCATTTAGTCTCTGCCCATGGGGAGTCAGGCAGCCAGACTGCCCAGCCAAGGCTCTGCGCTTTGTCCTGAAGATCCACACCCCACCCTGCTTTCCTCCCAAAGCTAATTGCCTATGAACTAGTTTGGTTTTGAGAAACAAGAGCCTCGGGTTTTCATGGGAGCCTATTTCCTCAGCTGCTCTCTGAGCCTGAACCCTGTCATCCTCTGGAAGGAAGGTTGGCAATTATACCCTGCTCAGGAAGGGGGGTAAGGGTGGTGCAACCAAGCTAAATATAGATGCAGTTTCTAGAAAGCCAGGGGTGAGAGAGGACATTGACCGACTCTCATGCCAGAGACCAATTTATCCAAACACAAAAGAGACAAGAAGCACACAAAAGCGTCAAGCGCCTGGGGCCAGGGCCTCAGGCCTGGGACAGGAGGGCCTTTCTCCAGCAGGTGGCCTCTGCCAGCAGAGACACACCTTGAGTAACCCAAGTGTGGGGTCAAATACTCCCTCCGGGCTCTGTCTCCACAGCAGCTGCCTGTCACAAAGATCCCAGCGCCTGGGCAGGATACAGGAGCTAGATGGAGCTGCTGATCTGAAAGCCCTGTGTGAGGCGATGGGAATGTTAGCAGCTTCATTGTGGCGATCATTTTACGACGCATACATGTGGCAAACCATCAAGCTGTACACCTTAAATATAGGCCATTTCTATTTGTTAATTACACCCCAGTAAAGCTGGAGGAAACAAAGAAAGACCTATGTCTCCTGATTGGGCCCAATTTGCATGTGGCAGCACCAAGGGGTTCTCAGCAGGTGGGTTTAAAAAAGCTTTATGCAAATTGACCAAAGGGTTGAAAAAAAAAAAAACTAAAATAAATTTTAAAAAGCTTTAAAAGAAGGTTAACACTGCACTGAGGAGCATAGCCTTCTTTTTTATGGAAGGCAATTTAGCAATATGCATCAAACATGTTAGATGCAGAGACACTTTTAACATGGTAAATTCACTTCTAGGACTTTGTTTTGCAGGTAGAGCAGTCTTTGGGCCCAAGGGTGGTTACTGCAGCCCTGCCTGGAGAAGCCAAAGACTGCACCGAAAATGCCCATCAAGGGAGGACTGGTTTGTCATGTCGTAGAACCTCCATACACAGCAACATGACTGTGAAAAAGGCAAGAATGCCGACATGGGAACAAGCTTGAAGAAATGTTCTTTAGTAGATAAAAGCAACAAGCAGACTGCCGGGCGCCATGGGTCACACTTGTAAACCTAGCACTCTGGGAGGCTGAGGCAGGCGGATCCTTTGAGTTTAGGAGTTCAAGACCAGCCTGAGCAAGAGTGAGACCCCCGTTTCTACCAAAAATAGAAAAAATTAGCTGGGCATGGTGGTGCATGCCTGTAGTTCCAGCTACTCAGGAGGCTGAGGCAGGAGAATCACTTGAGCCCAGGAGTTTGGGGTTGCTGTGAGCTAGGCTGATGCCACGGCACTCTAGCCCAGGCAAGAAAGTGAGACTCAGTCTCAAAAGAAAACAAAAAAAGCAACAAGCAGAGTGGCGACTAAAGTGTACTCCCACCTATATGCGCACATGTGTGCACACACACACACACACACACACTCATACACATTCATAAAGAGTCTGAAAATGAACACAGTGATCTGGTAACAGTGATAGCTCTGGCAGGAGGTAAAGAACTGAGAATTGGGCTCAGTGGGAGACTTACTTTTCACTTACATGCCCTTTTAAACTGTTCGCTTTTTAAAAACCATATATAGACATTACTTTAAAAAATTCATATCCACTTCAAATATATAAAGAATAAAAATGAAATATGGGATTTGGTTTGATTGATTTGCCTGAGTTTAAATCCTAATGCACAACCTTGGCAAGTTACTTAACCTCCCCATGCCTTGGTTTCCACATCTGTAAAATGGAAACAACCCTACAGAGGGAGTCATTGTAAGGATTAATTAAAGGAAAAGGGAACAGGACCCGGACAAAAGAAGCACTAAACAAAGGGAAGGTAGAGAAACTCTAGGGAGAGGCAGTGGCAGGAACTGCTGAAGAGTGACCAGAGATGGTAACCATCCCAGTGAGAATCTGAGACCCTAGAGGCAGACACCATGTCTTATACCTGCCCCCGGTGCCTAGCATAGGACTCTGCAGGTGGAGTTTTATAAATTGTTCCTGATGTCTACACCCGCAGACCACTGTCCAGTTCTGCTGAGCACCAGCCGGTTCCCTCAGAGTCTCTGACTGACATGAAGCTCTCTCAGAGCTCCCAGCCCAGCCCTTCCTTTCTCACACCTGATATTGAACACCTTCTGTTCAGGGACCTCTTTTCAGAGACCTCTGCCAACACATCACAGCCAG